TTGGAAGGGGCAGTTGGCGTGCGGGGGTTGTGGTCAAGTGGGCGCCGCGCAGGCGCTGACCGGGGAGGGGCTTTCTCCCTCAGCTGGCGCACGCCATCCGCATGCTCCTGGAGTTCACGGATACATCCTATGAGGAGAAACGGTACACGTGCGGGGAAGGTAATGCAGCTCCGGGTGTCCGTGCGCCCCAGCCCTAAGCCACTGGCCCTCCAACTGCCCTGTCTTCCTGTGTCCAGAGGGTGCATCACAGCTGAGTCGGCTGGGACGTCTGCCCCAGTCCCCCGGGAGCGCCCCCCTGTGTCCCTGGTGGGGAGAGATGGAAACGTCCTTTATCTGGAGCTGGGGTTCCTCCTTCTGCCATGGTCCCGCTGCGTCTGAACAGAGACGTAAATAGTTAACCTTGAGGGCCTGGGAATGTGAGGTATTAGGATCAAGTTATTTCCTTAGACCTTCCCACACTCCTCAGACAGGAGGTTAAGGAGGTTGGGTTCCACTTCATTCTCTTACAGCTCCCGACTATGATAAAAGCCAGTGGCTGGACGTGAAATTCAAGCTCGACTTGGACTTTCCTAATGTAGGTGGCTTTAGGAGAAAGGGTGGCAGAAGGGAAGGCTGTCAAGTATATCCTTGCTTCTTTCCTCTCTGGTCTAGGGGGACCTAGAAAAGGGGCCCTTAACCGGCATACAATAAAAAGAATTCAAGGGTGCCTGAACTTGGATGGAGAAAAAAATTACATTTTCATTTCCACTGACCACTGACTAAAGGTTAACAATTCCTTCTTTTGTGAATATAGACAATAAGTGACATTGGTTATTAGCCATGGCCGTGACCTTGTCACTAGCAGAAATTGGGTATTTCCATATTCTATTACACATGTGGCAGATACTGTACCTAAGTATTATTTGTATGCATCATACTTTGAAATTATGATAGTTACACCTGCTTGTTATTTAATGCATTAATTACTATAATTTTGTTTCTTTAATGCCTTATAAATTGTGAAAATAAATATAATTTGCTTTATGCATTTAAAAATCTTATTCTGAGAAAGGGTCCATGGAATGCATATGTACATACACACACAGAGAGAGATTAAGAATCCCGGCCTAGACTCAAGTGGGGACCCAACTGCTATTTTCTACTTCTTGGCTTCTTCCTCCTGACACAGCATCTTGTCTCTACTGTCCATACCCCTACAAGTCTCATCTTCCCCAGGAGAGAGAGGCAGGGAGGCAAGAGAGAGTTGGTTGTTCACCTGACGTGTCCTTTTCCTTGCAGCTGCCCTACCTCGTGGACGGTAAGAACAAGATCACCCAGAGCAACGCCATCTTGCGCTACATAGCTCGCAAGCACAATATGTGTGAGTGGGGTAGGGCTGGTGAGGGAGACCAGGCTGGTGGTTCTCCTGACGGTGGATAATTCCAAGGGTGGTTTCTGGTCCTTTGGCCTACAGGTGGTGATACAGAAGAAGAAAAGATTCGAGTGGACATCATGGAGAACCAAATAATGGATTTCCGCATGCAGCTGGTTCGACTGTGCTACAGCTCCGACCTTGTGAGTTTCCTTAGCAGGCAGGCATCAAGGAAAAGGCCCATTTAGAAACCCAAGCATTAATTCTGTTCCATTCTGGTACTTCTGCTTTCCCACCAACTCAGTCTGTCAGAATGGGAAACAGAGCTCATTTATTGTGGGGGCGGGGGGGTGGGTGGTGTTCATTTGTCATATAACTCTGGTGTTGGCCCCTCTTCCTTTCTGTCCTGCCATCCCTACTGAAGGCAGTAAAAGGAAGGCACCTGGAGAAGGGGGCCACTAAATGTCCATCACTGGCCTGTGCCCTGACTATTGACAATTATTCTCTCTCTCTTTCCCTCCCTTCCAGGAAACACTGAAGCCTCAGTACTTGGAACAGCTACCTGGACAACTGAAACAATTCTCCTTGTTCCTGGGGAAATTCTCATGGTTTGCAGGGGAAAAGGTAGGAAGAAAGGAAAGGGAGAAGATGCCTTTCTATCTCCCCAGTGTTAATGAACTCTCCAGAACTGACCATCTTATTGTTTCTCTAGCTCACTTTTGTGGATTTCCTCACCTATGATGTCTTGGATCAGAACCGTATGTTTGAGCCCAAGTGCCTGGATGAATTTCCAAACTTGAAGGCTTTCATGTGCCGTTTTGAGGTGATGCTCCCTGTACCTTTCCCTTACAAAAACACTCACAAGCTCCCCTGGTCCCCACGGGATTCCACTGTCATAGATTCTTACACCAGCGTTTGCATAAAGGGATCAATGGTTGGACACTTCTAAACCTTCCAAGTCTTGGGAAGGGCCTGGCTTCTACACCCTAAAGGCACTGTCTACATGAAATGGCAGCCAGGGAAGGGAAGGATGGTGTGGGGCAGGCAGTGTGTGAATGTCACTGTTCTGGAATGGGTCTGTTGGACTGGATTAGAGTCTTTATCAGGTTTGGCATGCTTTGCCTTCAGGCTTTGGAGAAGATCGCTAACTACATACAGTCTGACTGCGTCATGAAGATGCCCATCAACAACAAGATGGCCCAATGGGGCAACAAGAGAATATGCTGAGCAGGAGGCGAACTTGCACTGCTTGTTTTGTTCCATCCTGCCCCTCAGAGGCCTGTACTGTCTCTTCTCTGCTCTTTTCAATAAATAGCATTTAGGCTGATGGTGTCTAGCTGCATTTCTGTTGGGAGTAAAGGCCAGAGGGGAGTAAGGATACGTGGAGCATTTCCAAGATGTGAATCCAATCACTGCCATACTGACAACACCCTGTACCCCGACCGTGTTCAAAGCTACGGGTTCTTGCCCAAGCCTTGAGAGCAAGCACCAGAAACAAAGCTCAGATTGCACAGTTGTAGAGAACAGGTGTGTTAAATGGGACTGGAGTCCCTGTGAAGATGTGGTGTAGATACCAAGCGAAACTATGATGGTACTGTGGACTTCATGGAACTGGAGTTCAGAAGCAGACCCTTATATGTGGGAATGTAGTGTGATAAAGACAGAACTTCAAACTGGTGGGTTAACCAATAAATAGGATTGGGGCAATTACTTGCCAGTTAGAAATAATAGAGGGGTGCCTGGGTTGCTCAGTCAGTTAAGCGTTTGACTCTTGATTTCAGCTCAGGTCATGATCTCGTGGGTCATGAGTTCAAGCACAACTCGGCTCTGTGCTGACACTGGGAAACCTGGTTGGGATTCTCTCTCTCTCTCTCTCTCTCTCTCTCTCTCTCTCTCTCTGCCCCTCCCCTGCACTCACTCACTCTGTCTCTCTCTCTCTCATAAATAAACATTAAAAAAAAAAAAATAGAACCCTACCTCCCACCATTCCCTAAGACAAACTCCTATGACTACAACCTAAGGCTCAACACTAAACACCAAGCTGTAGAAGTATTGACGAAAATGTGAGAATATTTATGATCTTAGGATAGGTTTCTCTAAGACATTAAAAAAGCCATAAAAGGAAATATTTTCAAATTGAATAATATCAAATTCAAAAATTTTCTAAGAAAAAGCACAAATAGGCAAAAGTAAATGGCAAGATGACAAGTGAGACAAAAAGTACCCAGTATAAAGACTATCTAAAGAACTGGAAATCATCAAGAGTCTTTTTAAAAATGGACAAAAATCAGGGCACCTGGGTGGCTCAGCTGGTTAAGCATCTGCCTCTTGGTTTCGGCTGAGGTAATGATTTCATGGTTCTTGAGATCAAGTCCCGTGTCAGACTCTGCACTCAAAGCATGCAGCCTGCTTGGGATTCCCTCTTTCTCTCCTTCTGTCCCTCCCCTGCTCGCTCGCTCTCTCTCTCTCTCTCTCTCTCTCTCTCTCAAAATAAATAAACTGGGCAAAAATCTATGAACAAAGGATTTACAGAATAGAAATACTCATGGCCAAAAACAACCCCCAAAACCTGTTAACAAGATGTTTATAATCCAAGAATTGCAAACGACAACAGTGAGAGACCATTTTTCCATCTACCAGATGAACAAAAATTAAGAAGTTTGTGAAGCGTTGGCAAGGCATTTCCTACTGGCGAAGTTGTAAAATAATATAGCTCCTTTGGAGGATGGTTCGTTCGTCAGTATCTTCTAAAATTCAAATCATGTCCTGTAACCTAACAATTTCCATCCTGATACAAACTCACCCCTCACCTAAGGTATGTACTAAGATTGTGGTATTGTTTGTGATGACAAGCAAAGACCCTGTCAGTGCCCATCAGGAGTGTGGAATACCACAAGGGAAGTAAAGAATGAGATTGAACTGTGCGAACAAACATGGAAAGATCCCCCAAGACACATTGTTGAATTTTTAAACTCAGGTTGCAGATGACCATGTATGGGACGATAGCTTTTATGTTTTGAAGAAGGAAACCACAAGGCAAGCATTTTCTACAGATACATTTATGTATGTGAATGCATAGGAAAGGTCTGGAACGACACACCCAGCGGCACTTACTTCAGGCAAATGGGAGAAAGGCCCAGGATGAAAGTTAAAGAGGATATTAGAGAGAGGCTAAGCATTTCTTTTTTCTTTTTCTCTTTTTATTTTTTTGGTAAAGCCATAGTACATTGGGGACTGCCTGTACTGAAATGTACATTTTAAAAGTGTGAATTTCATGGCTCCTGAATTTGTTTTGTTTTACTGTGCTATATGGTTTTTTTTTTATTGTTTTTAGCTTTTATTTATTATTGATAGAGAGACTGAGCATGAGCAGGGGAGGGACAAAAAGAGGGGGAGATACAGAATCCAAAGCAGGCTCCAGGCTCTGAGCCATCAGCACAGAGCCCGACACGGGGCTCGAACTCACAAACCGGGAGATCATGACCTGAGTCAAAGTCGGATGCTTAACCAACTGAGCCACACAGGTGCCCCATACTGTGCTATATGTTTTTTTTTAATTGATGTACAATTAATATACAATGTTATATTAGTTTCAGGTGGACAACATAGTGATTCAACAATTCCATACATTACTCAGTGCTCATCATAAGTACAGTCACCATCTGTCACCATACAACGTTATTAAAATATTGGCTGTATTCCCTGTGCTGTACTTTTAATCTCCATGACTTATTTATTTTATAACTGGAAGTACCTACCTCCTAATTTCATTTGCCATTCCCCCACCCACATTCCTTCTGGCAACCACCAGTTTGTTCTCTGTATTTAAGTTTGTCTTAGGGGTTATTTCTTTCTTCATTTGTTTTGGTTTTTAGACTGCACATATATGTAAAATCTGTCTGGCTTATTTCACTTACATAATACCCTCTGGGTCCATCCATGTTGTCACAAGTGGCAAAAATCTCATTCTTTTTTATGACCGAGTAATATTCCGTGTGTGTATATGTGTGTGTGTGTGTGTGTGTGTGTGTGCGCGCACGCGCGCCACATCTTCTTTACCCATTCATCAACCTATGGACACTTAGGCTGCTTCCACATTTGGCTATTGTAAATAATGCTGCTATAAACATAGGGATGCATATATCTTTTCAAATTAGTGTTTTTGTTTTCTTCTAGTGAATACTCAGTACTACAATTACTGGATCATTTGGCATTTCTATTTTTAATTCCTTGAGGAGCCTCTATACTGGTTTCCACGGTGGCTGTACCAGTTTGCATTCCCACCAACAGTCCACAAGGATCCCCTTTTCTCCACATCCTCATCAACGCTTGTTATTTCTTATGTTTTTGTTTCTAGCCATTCTGATACGAGGCATTTCCCTGATGATGAGTGACGTCGAGCGCCTTTTCATGTGCTGACCATCTGTATGTCTATTTTCTCCTTTATTTTTCTTTAATTTTTGTAATGTTTATTTTTGACAGCAAGAGAGAGCATGAGCAGGGGAGGGGCAGATTGGCAGACACAGAATCCGAGGCAGACTCCGGGCTCTGAACTGTCAGCACAGAGCCCGATGTGGGGCTCAAACTCACAAACCGTGAGGTCATGACCTGAGCTGAAGTCGGTTGCTTAACCAATGGAGCCACCCAGGCGCCCTGTCTATTTTCTCTTTTAACTAGGAGAATGCATTCACGTATTGTGTAATAGAAGCTAGTTTTGAGAAAAGAAAACAAACTGAAGGGAAACGAACTCCTGTGGAAATTAGTTTGGCACTCTCCATTTGCAGAGCAAAGTCTTTGAGTCATTTTCAGCCTTCGATGGTGACCTGAGGGCCAGATTACTGTCCCCTGTGGACTAGGATCTCTCTAGGGAGGGAAGGACAGGGGCATGAACAGCCTGGTGATGCCAGGAGGGCTGCCTCAGGAGGGATTAGCACAGACACATGGTATTAAGCAGATGATTCAACTGCCAACTTTTGCCACCCTGGGTAGCAGTACTTAGATATCTGGGGCAATATCTTAGGTGTGGGGAGCCATTGGCCAGAAGAGGTACAAACCTGGAGTTTCCCTGCAGCCTGGTAACTATTGCCGTGAACTTCCATAGTGTGAGTGAGTGAGTGAAGTGTGTCCAAAGAGAAGGGAAGGCTTAGTGGATTTAGGGAAGGCCAGAGGAGTTGAGAGTGCTGTAACTAGACAGAGAATATGACCAGAAATCAGAAAGGGAATGTATTATTTACTGTTATGTAACAATGTTACCACCAATTTAGCAGCTGAAACAACACATGCTATTGGACAGTTTCTGTGGGGTAGGAGCCTGGGATTATCTCGACAGGGTCCTCTGCTTCAGGGTCTCATCTGAAAGCTGCAGTCAGCGTGTCAGCCAGGCTATGACCTCATCTCAAGGCTCAACTGGAGAAGGATCTGCTTCTGAGACACATGATTGCTAATAGAATTTAGTTCTTATGACCTGTTGGACACAGAGAGGGATTTACATCCTTGCTGGCTATCAGCTGGAGACTACTCTTGGCTCCTTGGAAAGGGGGCTCCTTTCTTCATCAAAACAAGTAAGGGGGACGGTCTCCCAGAATGATGGATACGTCAGCCCTATGTAATGAAATCGTGGAAACAACGTCCCATCACCTTTGGTGTCTTCTATTAGAGGCAAATCACTAGTTGCACCCACACTCAAGGGGAAAGGATTTCACAAGGGCATGAGTACCAGAAGGTGGGATTATGGGAGACCATCTGTTCACCACAGAGAAGGCAAAACAAACAAACAAAAACAAGATAATGGCCTCGTAGTCCTCTGAGAGAAGACTCCTGGGAAAGACAGGTGACAAAAGAGAGTGACAAAGCAATTAGAAGGGGGAGGTTTCGGGGCACCTGGGTGGCTCAGTTGGTTAAGTGTCTGACTTCTGCTCAGGTCATGATCTCGTGGTTCGTGGGTTTCAGTCCAGTGTTGGGCTCTGCATTGACAGCGTAGAACCTGAATGGGATTCTCTCTCTCCTTCTCTCTGCCCTTCCCCCACTCACACTTTCTCTCTCTTTCTCTCTCTCTAAATAAATACGTAAACTTAAAAAAAAAAAGCATAGGTCTGTAAGTGAAACATATTTCATATGAAGTCCAGATAGATAATGGACAAATCACGTGTTCCAACTTTTTCTAGTTATCATGTTTGTTAGTGAAAATCCGCTGAGCGGTTCTGCAAAACGAATAATCTTACTGGCCC